ATGTTATGTTGCCAGTCTTTGTGCTTTCAGTCTAGATTAGCGTAATGACAGGATGCTTTCTTTCAAAGGAAATGAAAATGACAGCAGAATAAAAAGAAACTTAAATCCTTAGCTTTCAAAAATTCATAGGTTTCGTGATATACTGAAAGCATAACTTTTATGGCTATGATTTATTTGTTGAAAGGAACTCTTTCTCCTCGCGGCCACGTCGCGTCGCGCAGCCTACTAACTATATTGGTATTTATTTGTTCGTTGGTTTTGATTACTTATTATGATACTAGCTGAACAAAACAAAGCTTAACTTAATCAGTGAGCCAAAAGTATTGTTAATTGAGTAGGTATCGTAAATCATTTTCAGTACGAGTCGAAACCTTTTCTTGTTTTTGTTGTACAAAATGAAAAAAAAATAAAAAAGATAAGAAAAGGCAAACTGTAAAAGGCCATGTCTATCTAATAAAATATTGGCCTGAACTCACCGTATATTATTAAACATCTGCAAAAAAGTAACATGGGACACCCACCATATAACTTTAATAAAACCTGCTTTGATGGATTACGTTATGAATTTATTACGACGGATTATTCCCGTCGCCTGGTCTAAAATCGGCTTAATATCGTTAAAACTTTGCTTACAAGTATAACTTGAAGGAAAGTTTACGTCGTACGTGGTACTGACACATCAAGCTATGCAATTCCAGTATAAACTGACTGTTGAATGTACGGACAGATCATACAAAGCAAGACCATGTTTAACTGGTGTTGTATGGCTTGATGAGTAGTCGTGAGTAGTTCGCGCTAATGTATGTATTGTCACGGATTCACAATCTGTGTTGATACAAGGACGACAGTTCTGGTGAATAGACTAGAAGTACAGCCTACTTACATAGAACATTTTGAGTTTTCAATGATTGTAAATTAATTATTTCATCTTTATGACTCCGTGTAGCGACGGTAGAGTAGAATATATATCATATATTCGCTACCACCCCTATCCTTGCTGAGAGTCGTAAGACCCGACTGATGGATGAAAAATGACCTTGTGTTTTCGCGAGTTCTGATAGTCGCATTTCCGTACCAACTTTAGTAAATTATTTGTATTGTAACTTTCGTGAGACATACTAAATAAATTATGTTTTCGGCTTACTCACGTTGTAATTCGACGAGGAACTCGACTAGTTTCAAGCCATGCTAGAGGCTCATATTCATTCATAATAATTTATTTAGTAAATTAGTGACACAAACCAAACTAAAGCTTACATACAATAAAATGTTGTTATGTTTTTATAATAACTATCGTGAGACATACTGAATTAACAAAAAAGTGACGAGTTACCCACGTAAAATATACTGAGAAAAGCTCTACTAGTTTCGAATCAAAGAGGGACTCTTCCTTATGAACAGCCCGCGCGGTCGCAGTGAAGTCGCACAGCTTTTTAGATAAAATAATTGTTAGTACAATAGCCATGTTCTTCACTAAGCATTTATATATTTATCTGTTTAAAGTATTTTCAAACTTACACCAACACATAAAGAGAAAATCAGATAATCTAAACTTTTTTAATCCTAGGTACCTACCTCTAAGGTGGCACACAACACTATCTGTTTCTAACTATCGGGATAGAATGAGATAGTAAAACTTTGCGTTTTCAAGACTAACAACAGAAATGACTTGAGTTTTAGAAGTCGGTTAAAAGGGGATGACAAATGCGTACTGTATTTAATTTTTTATGGCATAAGTCGGTAAACGAGTTGACGGATCACCTGATGGTAAGCAATCGGCGTCGCCCATGGACACCTGGAACACCAGAGGCGTTAAAAGTGCGTTACCGGCCTTTTGGGGATTAGGAGTTTGAGGATCGTTGGGGATTCAGAGATTGGGGAAATTGGGGGAGGGGAGGGTAATTGAGCCTCCGGTAACCTCACTCACACGACGAAACACAACGCAAGCGTTGTTTCACGTCGGTTTTCTGTGAGGCCGTGGTATCACTCCGATCGAGCCGGCCCATTCGTGCCAAAGCATGTCTCTCCCACACAATTATTTATTTTTCCTACATTTATTTACTTTAATAAAATGCTCACAGAATCATTTTTTTCCTTTCTTTTCATCAGTATCTTGAATTTGTTGTTGTACAATCATTATGACATCTTTGTATAGGTAGGTACATATACATACATAACATATGTTAGAGTGAAGTGAATCTAGATAGATGTCGCATAGTCTCTGTCTTCCCCTAATTCAATAAAATGAAACATTCAAGCACTACATGTTGCAGCTTTGTCTCTGGAACCGAATCGCATTTGCGAAGGAAGCCTTTGAATATTGAAAATGTCTTTGGGTAGCTATGATCGATTACCACATTGAATGTATAGATTTCTATCATAGATGCCATTTGCTAATGTCTTGGGAGCATTGTCTTTTTGAAATATAATACGTATTTTAATATGATAAAGTTTAGTTTTGATTAAAAAACATTGGACCGATCCATACAAATTTTATCTCGGTGACCAAAATATCTACCATTGAAGGCCCGTGACAGTTCCATACAGACTCACAGCCTCCTCTACATTGAAAAGTCAATATAAGTAATTCAATTTACGCCTTTTTTTGAGAGGGGAAATCATCCAATGGCTTCTCTCACCTTGGGTTAGGCGACAGGGAGTGTCAGACTCTTACTGACTAAAAACCTCCACGTTCCTACTCCTGCTGTTCAAGCCGGAACCCCAGCAACCCATTAGTCTTTTCCGCGGTTCCCTATCGGGCATCAGGCTTACTGCTCATATACACCTACTGTTTCAAGGAAACAAGCATCCTTACTAATATTATAAATTGGAAAGTGAGTTTGTTTGTTTGTTCCGCTTTCACGCCGTGACTACTAAACCGATTGCTTTGATGTTTTGCAGACGTAAAGTTAGATGTCTGGATTAAATAATAGGGTATATCCCGGAAAAATTTGATATTCCCGAGGGAAAACAAAAGTATTGGTATAGATGGCGCTGTGTGTAGGGGCATATGTCACATAGGCTACTTTTTATCCTTATGTGACGCGAGCGATAAAACTTGGTATCAACTACGTGATTATCTATTTAGGAAGTTACCTATACTTAAGAGATCAAGTTATAACTTATGTGTATAGTGTATACATGATCACTAATTAAATGTGTCCCTTGTCGACAAAGCTTGTCTCCCGGGTCTGCCTATCCGCCATTAATTCTTTATTACATCTTTCATGAGACATTTTCGGGGATTACTGAACATTATCGCTACATATTTGATACGGTTTTATGCGGAACGATAAAAATGCCGTATCACACTGCAGTATATGATAAGAAAATTGTACACGCTATGCTTACGACATTGCCTACTGGGTTATGTTTATGCTGCAGTATATTTTTTGTTTTCTTTGGTAATTAGGGATTTTGTGAACTCATTTATTGGGATTTTTGTACACATTCTGTGATGTGACGATGTTGATCCCATCGTCTAGTTAGAAATAAACAGATACTTATTAGGTAGATTTTTTAGGACTCATGTTCATAATTATTGTGATTTATTTTTCCCAATTCTAATTAGGTATTATTAAAATCAATAGAATTATTAAAATCAAAACACGACACTTGTTTTTGACTACAGACAATATCGACCAAAAATGATTAGATGATTACAATTCGATTTTTCATTCTAAGATTTTATTTCAAGAAATTATATATACAATTAATATTAACTATAACTTAATGAAAATATATACAACTTAAAATATAAATAACTATGAACTAAAATATTTACACCTTAAAAAAAAAGGTAATAATAAATAAATAAGCTATAATAAGCGAGGCGAAGCGAACATTTATCGACAACCGAGATATTAGGCGCAAAAGTAGTAAATTTTGATATGATCTGTCTGTCGGTAGAGTCATGTAAAAATATCTCACACTTGGAATAATTTAGGTCAAGGCCAATAGCATGAAGTTCGTTTTTTAAAAATTGGAAATCATTTAAAACTGTATCTGCATCGCCTCCCAGGGTACCGTCATCGAGGTACCACACATTAAATTTAGAATTTAGCTGTCGTATAATAGGATTAATGGCCAGGCTAAAAATCACTGGCCCAAGGGGATCGCCTTGTTGACAGCCAACGGCTGATTCCAAAAGGTTGTCCTGATATAATAATTTTGTAGGGTGTCTATAACATTGCCAGAGAAAACTAAAAATTTGGGGTACTTCCTTTTTAACTTCTGTCAACAGAGTATGTATCAGAGTATCGATTTTTAGCAACTCAAACAAAATAACCAGTGTGATCTACTGAGCTTCGCATTTCCAAAATGATGTGACCGAAATATACTTGATTATATTGTATCAAAAAAATCTATAGAAATATCAGAACACAACACTTGTTTCTGACAAGAGACAATGCTGACCAAAAGTTATTACAATTCGAAATTTTCACCTAATTAAACATATTTGTATTGTAACTTTCGTGAGACATACTAAATAAACTGTAACTATGCTATGCTACTCTGAAGCTCTGAAGCAGCGCGACAGTCGGCGCGTCGCGGGTCGCGAAATGCTGCTCATGAATATGAGCCTCTAGCATGGCTTGAAACTAGTCGAGTTCCTCGTCAAATTATTACGTGAGCAAGCCGAAATCATAATAATTATATTTGTAAAAATTGCAAAAAGTCTCAAAACAATAAATGTAAATCCTACAATGTAATTGGCCAAGTGGTTTTTTTTTCGATGTTATTGACCTCTATTACTTAGCTCTGTACTGTGGTTTCACGTAACCGTTTACGCAAGAACTAACATATCTACAGGAATCCTTATCATTATCATATTTATGTTATTATCATTCGCAACGTAAATAACGATAAATCGCACGTGTACGCGATTTTGAATTGTATTGCAATGGGTATAAGATTTGTAATTGTTTAGTTAATTTAAAATCTAAAGTGCAAGATGTAGGGTCGGTAAGACACCAGTATTTTTTCGCATCTACGTCCGCGGCGACGTCTGGGCGAAAACACGTGTGACAATTATTTATAAATTACTACTTATCGTTGTAATTTACTGAAAAAAAAATAAAATTTCAGTACTTTTTTCTGTTGCCGGTAATTGATGAAATAAATATAACCTAAAAATTGGTGGATCAAATCGAAGCCATTGAATCAATATACAAACAATACAAGATTTGAAAATCGAAAACTCTTCGCTTCTAATCATAATAAAACTTTTCCTAATTTAAAATTCAGGTTTAAATATAGAAGACAATAATAATCATTAGAAAAAAATTAACAAAAGTATATCAGTATTAGTCTTCCATGTGCAATTATTATAATAATAGTGATGTGCATTAGTGTGAGTGTGTATTATTAGCCAAAGTTTGAAAAAGTGTGTATTATTAACTGTTATTATGGAAATGCTACGAATTGGAGTGTTTCCGATCGCATTGACAATCGGCCTTACATATCTAAACGTGAAAAAGTGAGTTGTTGTGTGTTTTTGTAGACATTTTTCAGCTATATTTTCATGACAAACTTAAAGGTTACCTAGAATGCTAAGAAAAAGTATCTAACAATATCTCATCTCTAAAATATCATATTTTTGTCTTTATAGTACCTACTTTGAATAATTATGACATTATAATAAATTTTGTGTCCGTGTGTCAAATAATATTAATTTAGTTGTAGATACCTGTAGTCTAGTACTGGGTATATAATATAAAGATGAAAATTGCATTATTTTTCCCATTATTTTAACTTCAGTGACAGTGACTAATACCATTGCATATTCATGGAATATGATCAAGTCACATACAAATGTATACCGATATGTGTACGTTTGTATCTATAAATAATACCTATGAGGAACTCCATAATAATACAATCTCTATAAAAATATTGCATACACATGATGTATTTCTTGTATATTATATATTTGTATATTGTATATTTATTGTATAGGTACATATGTGTACATATGTAATTCTTGAACAAGCATACATAAGAAAACTAAAATAAGTTATTATTTTAATGCAATAACGACATCTAGCGGCAAACACCGACAACTGATATGAAAACAAAAGAAATCTACAACAAAAATCAGAAATCTACAATCATATAACCATGTCTTTCTCCCACAGGAACTCTTACAGTAGAAGAGGTGTACAAGGACAGAGATCAGTTCGCGGGTCTTGTTCGCGAGGTGGCAGCACCGGACGTGGGGCGCATGGGCATCGAGATCCTGTCGTTCACCATCAAGGACGTGTACGATGATGTCCAGTACCTCGCCAGCTTGGGCAAGGCGCAGACGGCGGTCGTCAAGCGCGACGCGGACGTTGGAGTTGCGCAGGCCAACCGAGATGCCGGCATCAGAGTGAGATAATCTTTTTTATTGTAGACTTATTAAAGACAAATAATTTATTACAAGTATATTAATCGTCTTAAAAAGCCGGTAAGCTTCTTTGCAACCGATAGTATCATAAAATAAAAATAAATGATTTATTTCAAATCTTACACACGAGGTATTAAATTAATTTTAAATGTAGGTACCAATTTTGTAGGTACTTGACAACTAAGTAGTCAAATTCAATACTTTTTTCAAACTGTCAAAAACGACAATTTTCTATGAATTTTGTACGAGATTGTGTATTGTGACGTCACGTTTTAAACGGTTTTATTTAGCTCACCCCGTTTGTTTTAATTATTATTTATTCTTGTTTTTGCGTCAAACAGCATATTACTTATTTATTAAAAATTTACTGGAAATATACTCAAATCAAGTTGGTCATAGAATCAATTAATAAGTGTGATTATATTTTAATATTTTATCGTATCGAACAAACGAAATAATTTATTTTAGCCTTCTTTTTTCAGACTATTCTACATTAAATACTGTGTGAATTCCGTAAAACCTAGTAATTACCATACTATGACGAAACATGAACATTCCGATAAATGTGAATTATTCACGTCATTAGGCTCGCGTACATTATACTGCTGTTCGAGCCCAATAGACCGTGAAGCCGGGCGTGTTAGGCCCTTTAGCCATTTATTTATCGTTCACAAGTTGTCACTAACACAAACCAATTAATTCCTCGGCTAGCAATCTGGTGCGTTCATACGAGTTTCAATTAGTGGAGATTGTTTAAAGTAGCGGCAGATTTCCACAAACACAAAATGTTAGTGGTAAAAGCTAGCGTTTAATTGTTTGCTCTTCCACCTGATCAAAATAATTTATGAACTATATTACGATTAATATCTGTTATAAATATTTTCAGCTCATAAGTAAAAGATAACCTCCATAATTCGGGCATAATTCTTGATGAAATCCAAAAACTCAAAGGCGATACGGTTAAATATTTAAATTCTGAATGCGCTATCGAACATACTATATTAATTATACTTCTATGTTGTTTGTTAGGAAGCGGAGTGCGAGAAGAGTGCGATGGACGTGAAGTACTCGATGGACACGAAGATCGAGGACAACACGCGCCTGTTCAAGCTGCAGAAGGCGCAGTTCGACCAGGAGGTCAACACTGCGGTACGTACACAACTACATATATACCACACATCTTCCAAGCTACAAAAAAAAAGAATTTTAACCCAGTTTTTATGTACTGGGAAATATTTATTCAGTATTACAAATAACTGGCCAGTTAGAGGTCATAAGTGTAAGTAATTGGTATTTTGTTGAATGATCAATTTGAAAATATTTATTCATATTTGTCTTTGCGAATCACTGAACCGATCCAAATGCGGGCTTACATTCCTTGCGTGTAATTATTTCATTACAAAAATCCATGTGAATTAAATGATTTTTGTAATGAAATAATATTACCGCAATATATTATAAATTCGACTCATCCATAAATTTCAATCAAAATTGAATGGAATATCTGAAACATAAACGTGCATAGCTTCGCTATCCCATTTAAGTCGTGGCTTCAGGCTTCCTTTATATGAAAGAGCACTTCCTACAACGGAAATCCATCAAGAACCTTCCTTCCTGCCTGCCAATGTGGAGTATTTGACAAGTGACTTTTTCCTGTTGTAGAAAGCGGAGGCGGCGCTGGCGTACGAGTTGCAAGCTGCAAAAATAAAACAAAAGATACGAAACGAGGAGATTCAGATCGAAGTCGTTGAGAGACGCAAGCAGATTGAGGTGAGATTTTAATATCAATTAATTTGGTACCCGTTTACTAGTAAATTGCTGAACAGGTATTGGTGAATTTAGATACAAAGACCGATGATGATAGTTTAAAATTTTGCTAAAGCTTGAAATACAATCACAAATTCTAGTTTAAATTTAGCAATATTCTAGTCATATTGATATTATTGCTGAAGATTACAATAATATATTTTACTAGCTACTTCCGCGCTGTTTCACACGCTCTGCTCAGCTCCTATTAGTCTTAGCGTGATGTTTTATAGCCTATAGCCATCTTCGATAAATGCGCTATCCAACACAAATAGAATTATTCAAATCAGACTTGTAGTTACGGAGATTAGCGCGTTCAAACAAATAAACGAAAAACAAACTCTTCCGCTTTATATAAGATAAGAATAATGCTTAAATAACCGTTTGTATTACAGGTAGAACAACAGGAGATCCTGCGTCGTGAGGAGGAGCTGAAGGCAATGGTCCGTCTGCCAGCCGAGGCAGAGGCTTACCGTCTACAGGCTATTGCGGAAGGAAAACGGTAAGTGATGCTTTTGTAACTAAATCAATTTTAAACATGATGCATTTTTTATGGCATAAGCCGGTAAACGAGCAGACGGATCACCTGATGGTAAGCAATCGGCATCGCCCATGGATACCTGGAACACCAGAGGCGTTACCGGCCTTTTGGGAATTAGGAGTTTGAGGATCATTGGGGAGATTGTGGAAGGGGAGGGTAAGTGGGCCTCCAGTAACCTCACTCACACGACGAAACACAACGCAAGCATTGCTTCACGTCGGTTTTCTGTGAGGCCGTGGTATCACTCCGGTCGAGCCGGCCCATTCGTGCCGAAGCATGGCTCTCCCACACTTGAAATACTTCCTGAGATGTTAATTGAAAAATACTATATATCTGATAATGCGATTATATATTTCGACAACCGGTGTCGTATGAGTTCTTACCAATATGATCAACACAGTTCACCGTTAAATCACTAAGAGAGGCCAATCTTCAGCAGTAAAAGTCATGTAGCCGATAATTAAATCATTAATAAATGACAAAGTTCAATGCACAGGAGAAAATCTTTCAAAATATGATAACTCAATATTCCTTTTTTCCATCCAGCACTCAAACTGTGGAAGGTGCTAAAGCCGACGCCGAGCGTATCAAGGTGCTCGGTTTGGCTGAAGCCACCGCCATCGGTGACGTGGGTAAAGCTGATGCGGAGCGCATGTTGGCTAAGGCTAAAGTCTACAAGCAGTATGGAGACGCGGCCATCATGGCGCTCGTACTTGAAGCGTTGCCTAAGGTAAATTGTAAAATTTTAACTCGATTTGTTGATATACAGCTAGATGTAATATGTTTATTTTCATGTGTGATTGTCATCTTCAATCTAACTGTGATTCTTCTTGAATGGGGCTAATATTATGGTCCTCAATCAGTTAAAAGCTATTTTAATCGATTTTTGACTTTATCACGAAGCCATAAAGTAGAAAATATAGTCAAACGATCTTGATAAAAAAATTAACAGAACTTTCTTCTTTATAGATCGCAGCAGAAGTATCAGCACCGCTCGCCAAGACGGACGAGATCGTCCTGGTCGGTGACAACGGAGCGACTGGTGAAGTGGCTCGGCTGGCTGGTGGTATACCTCCAGCTTTGAAGACCCTCACGGGGCTCGATCTCAGCCAGGTGCTGAAGAGGCTGCACCCCAACGGCAACGGTCAGTAATGTAGACTTGACATGCCGTCCGCGTCGAGGTAATATTATGATGGATGGTGGTGGATAATGGTGGTTGGTTTGGTATATTGGGTTGAATGGAAGCTCGAGAGATGTAACATAACATAACATCACGCCTTTTTATCCCCGAAGGGGTAGGCAGAGGTGCACATTTCGGCACTTAATGCCACTGTACAATGTAACACCCTCTTTTCACTATTTATGTTATTAGTCCCATGTAATAGGGGGTGCGCCTATTGCCATATACCGGGCACATTTCCAGACTCCGTACTATTACTGAAATTTTTAAAAACTCAGTAATACTTTGCCCGATCCGGGAATCGAACCCGAGACCCCCTGCCCGGCAGTCGCACTTGCGACCACTCGGCCAACGAGGCAGGCTCGAGAGATGTCTGTCGTAAAATTATAAGGTTTTAAAATACAGATTGTAGAAAATTAATTATGCTACACGAATAGAATACGTTGAACAATAGCAAATGTTTTTTGTTGAGAAAAAGGCGATCGAGCGATGTTCGTAATAGAATAGAGTTTACGATTGGGTACTGGCTTAGTCAAAAATAAATTATTTCGACTATTCAATACAATAAAATAATCATACTTTTATTAATTGATTTTATGACCAACTTAATTATAGTATTTTTTTATCAAAGTTTTAAAAAACGTGACGTCACAATACACAATCTCGTACAAAATTCATAGAAAACTGTCGGTTTGGACAGTTCGAAAAAGTCTTAAATTTGACTAATTGTCAAGTACCCAATTATACCCAGTAATGCTTACTTCTTCTAGCATATTATATTCAAACTAGCAGTCCGTCCCGGCTTCGCACGGGGTAGAAATTTTTTTTTTTCAAAATGAAATATAGCCTATGTTACTCGGGGATAATGTAGCTTTCCAGAGGTGAAAGAATTTTTGAAATCGGTCCAGTAGTTTCGGAGCCTATTCATTACAAACAAACAAGCAAACAAATCTTTCCTCTTTATAATATTAGTATAGATAATAACCGAAAATGTGCTACTATCCTAAAAATAGTGTAAACGTTTCTCTAACATCACAATAATGTCTGAATATTACATCTTTAGATCCTATGGCTGCGGGCACCAGTAAGAAGAAGACACCAGAAGTAGCAGCATGTTAAGAACCAATTAGAAAGCAGGATAACAATGCAACGTATTACTCCAACCAATAGCAACACGTTGCGTGAACAAGCAGTCAGTGCCATACAGTTACCGCTGATCATGATACATGGTACAATCAAAATAGCCTTTGTAAGCAATTCAATGTATTTTCAAGTACCTTACTTATAATAATGTAAGCTCAGATCAATAAAAAATGAAATATTTACTTAAACTGCGGCGTGTAAAGATATACTTTTGGCCTTAACAATAATCTATATTTGTTCTTTGACATTAAATACCTTTATCACAAAGTAATAATGAATTTTGTATCTTTGAGGATATTTCTCGAAACAAGGGATTATTGTATGAGAACTTCATTCTGTTGCAAGTCTTATGTACAGATATCAATCTACACCAATCTGTCTTTCTTCATTCGATTTACGACTTTATTACAAAACAATAAAGCTTTAAATCAGTAAAGAAATTTGACAGACTCTGTACAATGTTCTCATTGGTTAAATGGCATCTGTCAACCAATCACAGATAAGATCTGACAACAGAGTTTTTTAATGATCTGAAACCAAGGCTTTTACGTATAAGTTATGTATTAATTATTTCTACTAAATGCATGGTGTATTTTGATCGAATACTCAAACTAAAGCATAGACATAGAGAATGGACCGAGAAATCCTCCACTATTTGTATTATTTAGGAGAAGAGACAACGATTATGTCCATTCCTTTTGTAAACTAATCTGATCATTCAGATAAATATGTTACTGGCAGCCTGCGACATGAAAACAGACTTCTACATAAAAAAGACGCATAATCGCTTTGTCTCTCTCACACCTTTTTACCTCATTTACTGTGTATGTGTCATGTTCTTTGTCCAGTTTCCTAACTCTATGGTCTAAAAAAATATCACATCAAAGTCTTGTCGTATGATAAATATTCTCGTTTAAAAATCGATGTGAGTTTTCAAATCTTGTATGTTATACTTACTGCCATACTCAGAGACGTCGAGTGATTTTTTTTAAACTATTCCTTAATAAAGATTTTGTTTCGAAAATAATTGTTAAGGACTGGTCTGTGAGTACGGCGGTTAATATAAATAAATGTTAAATGCCTACTTAGTACATAACTTGTAGTTTAAATGTACCTAAATGTCGACTCATAGCGTGTTTACCGAACGAAGATGTATATTTTTCAATAGAATGACTACAGGTAAATTGTCTTAGAGAATTTAGATTTTGTACAACTGTGTAGTAATTTATATATTAATAAGACAACGTGTTCTAAGGCACTGCCCTTTTCCGTAGATTTTCAAAATTGTGTGAGTTACCGCCGTATCAAGCAATGTTTATAAATTGTACAAGTTTTTGCTTAACATATACTTCTGATATTTAAACTCATTATAAAGAGACGGTTACACTTAAATAGTTTTTAAGGTTTTTTTTCGCAGTCGAATTGTGTGACAATTTCGACGTTCGTTTTTCAGCTTTGTAAGGAATTTTAAAGGTTATGTTCTTAAGTATAGAGCTTGAAATCCCACCAATACTTACTTTGTTAAGTAAGATTTTAAGGGTGCGATTTATTTTCGTGTGGTGTGCGTTTGTACTGAATTCCAAAGCAATGGCATTTTTAAAAATTTGACATTTAGTAATTATAATTATTATTTTACGTACATACTTGAAGTTAATGGAATAATTTAATTTTTTGTTGTTGGTTTCATATTTTGTTGTTCTCATTTTTCTGTTATTTCGTACTACGTCTTGTATTTAGATTGTATTCTAATATATTTGCACAACAAATGGATGTATCTGAAATATTTTCTTTATGGTATTGAATAAGCTAAATGATTATTTTAATAAAAATATGTGTAACAATTTTGTCTTATTTTTTGTCCTTTCCGATCTAAATATTTTTTTTTTCTAAAGAGATCACGGATAAAAATTATCTTGACTACCTTAGTAGCTATACACGAAGATTTGAGAAGGTTCTCAGGCTGATTTTTATGGCATAGGGACAAACTAACACACTTATCGCGAGTTGGGATAATAAAATCAACTTATATACCTTAGAAAATAATTTATTCGACATTTAATACAGTTACAATCATACAATCCTACAAATTATATTTATTTTACTTTTTTAACTAATTAAATATAATTAGTGAGGGTTGTACATCTCGCCACGGATATTCGTCTTCATTAACTGTAAACAAAAGAAAATAAACATTAGTTTTACTTGTTAACAGAAAATAAACTTTAACAATTTACATTAAAGTCGGTTTTGAAAATATCATTAATTTAAGTGATCATCAACTCGACTGAGGTGCAAGAACTCATAAGTATGAACTCTATTCAGGAAAATAAAATAATATGGCATTCTCAGTAAATCATAGTAATGAGACTATTGATACCTCCTTCGACTAAAAACATGATTAACAAAAAACGTGTTTATTGTATAACTTGTAAGGTCACTTTTACTCTGCAGGAATATGAGACGTTACATTAAACTTCTTTGTTCTTACCTTAACTTTCTCCTCATAGCTAAGTTCTGTCTTAGTGAGCACATAGCACAACTTTGCCCACGCTGCCTCAGCCGTCATGTCGTATGCAGGCACTACTCCACATTCTAATAGAAGCTGAGAATAAAAAAAAATTAATACTCCATGTCACCTATTCATGGTCCCACCCACACGCACGAAGCGCTTCGCATCAAGCTTTGCCTTGTGCGTACTGCTAAGGAGTGGCATCCTTTGCCAGAGTCTGTATCTCCTGAAGCCTTGAAGACACCCAGGTTATAACTTGGGTGTCTTCAAGGCTCGAGTGAATGGGTTGCTTATTGCGATGTACGACTTCATCGTAGACCGCTTAATTGCTTACCACCCGGCTAGATAGTGGTCAAACGTCGGCCCATCAAATATAAAGAAAGAAAACAGTTTACTATTAACAGAATAGCTCGCTTTCTGAAAATTATAGAAACCTTTTATCTTTGAATTGCTGCCGAAATCAATAGAGCTCAGGGGAATTACTCTTGAATCCAATTCCGATCGATCGACATTGGTATTGTGAAATTTCGTACTCTTGAGTTGTAACACTAGTTTCCATTGCATCACTATTGCGTGGAAATTTAATGATCTGAATGGTATTGAGTTTGGCTTTATATTCCGTACTCTGAATGCTATTTTAACAGCTACGATGGGGGTTGTATAGTTTTGACATTGAATAATTTTGAGATTGAATTGAAATTGCATTTACATTGAGATTGGCTTCAAGATTATGCGCCCAGGTAAGTAACTCCTCTAACCCTTTCAAAAAAATTTTTTTTGCTGTGTTTTTCTTAGCTCTATTGGGCTTGGCACTGAGTCTGTAACACATTTTATGCCACATTTGAAACCAAATTTATTTATTTATTATTTTATTTGTTAGGTAAGGTAGCTGTAGTCTATGTGGGACAACCACTTGACATAGTTAAAGTAAAGATGCAGACATTTCTACACCTTTATAAAGGAATGTATGATTGTCTAAAACAGACACTACGTAATGATGGAGTGTTCCAAGGACTGTATGCAGGCACTACTCCTATAATGGTTAATATGGAACGCTTCTCAACTTTAGGTTTTTTAAAACAGATCATAGATCAGTTTTAGTATGAAAGTATTTTCCTACTCACCAGTCCAGTCTCATACAAAGGTTTAGCGATGACAGTTCCATTGATGCACTGAGTTACGTTCACCACCAGCACCTTGTTCTTCACTGCCGCCTCGATCTCTTTGTAGATCTCCTTGCGTTTGATGGGAATATTACCGTTGCCGTATGTTTCTAGAACGACGCCTGAAAAGAAAAGAATTGAAGATGTATATATTTGGTCACTAGATGGCGCAGACATTTTTGGTCCAATCAAAGCAGTTGTCAAATATTGAACGTCCAATGAGGTGATACCCAGGTAGCTACCCAAGTAGCACAAAACTACATTACAAGATGTCACAAGAAGTAACATCGATAACTTTAGCACCTATGAAGAGTTATTACGGTACACTCGACCTGCAATAGGGAATCAGGGAATTATAATTCCCTATAGGACGAAGAACGAGAGGTTTACACTAGCACCATCTGGTGATTAACAATACAGCCCACAATGTCTAAGGATCAATGGTGTTGATAATCTAGCTTATCCGATGTAAGGATGACAGTTTTACGTGTAATAAACCAGTATGAATTTCTGGGTAACGAGGTGGTTTTTAACCGACTTCAAAAAGAATAAGGTAATGAGTTTGACCTGTATGTATGTATGTTGGTGCGCGAATCTCGCGATTGGCTGAACCAATTTTGATGTGGTTTTCAGAAAAGTGTTGGTTACACTTATTAAAAGGTTTTAGTATATTAATTAACCGACTTTAAAGGGGTGGGGGGGCTGTGGAATTGGGTTTTATACGTAGTTTATAAAATAATTGTTAGTCATAGTAATAGTCTAACATTCCCTTTCGTCTTCCCTGCACAAAAGGTCTCAATTTCGGTTAACCCAATAACCAAAAATGGTGATAGAAACAAAAATGTTCAAACGAAAACTATTCTTTGTTACGCAGTCTGTCACAAGCTACCGAAACTATCGTCTTCATCAAACCAAATATTATTATAAAAAAAAAGTATAAAATCAAACAGTAATCACCTTCCATGCCCGAAAACACTGCTTTAATCAGTTCAGGTGTGATAGTGGGTGCCATCTTCAAGATATACACCTTCCTGCAGAGCTTGTCATGTAATCTGCACTCATTGGGCACGGAGCCAGGGGGGTGGATCAGCATCTTCGGGTCTACATCCAGGGTCGCCTTAGCTTCGAGCAGCGCTGGGAAGTTCGGCGAGTCGAACGCGTAGATCTTTGTGTTTGATACTTTTTTTACCCTGTGGAGTGGTACACGGTAGTTTCATATTTTTTATGGAATTATTTTTTTATTTTAATAAATAAAAAATCCTATACTTCCATAATTTGAAGTACTTATAGGATTCGGTTGTTAGTAATTAATTAGTTATGTCATTATAAACAAGTTTATTTAACTACTTTACTTATCATTTTTCAATTTTGAATAGTGCAGTGAATACTTATTTTTCAAATTGGAAAATATATGTGACTAACTTCTGCCCGCGACTTCGTACGCGCAATCCCGTTTTCTCCCGTTCCCATAAGATTTTCAGGATTTTTTTTCTAACATAAGAACCTCTGACAATAACAAACACACCAAAAAATATATCATCCTAATCGGTCGAGCCATTCTCAAGTTATGGCGGGACAACGGGAAACGGGTTTCATTTTTATATAGAGGTATATAGATTTTCTTTACCACGTAAGTACTCGTTATTTTCATATCAGTGTCTTAATAAACTTGCGATAAATTCATCTGTGTGTTTACCTAGTGCCTCTGAAGAGCCTCGCTCCAAAGAATACTGTGACTTCTGGAATGTTTTGTGTAGCTGCAATAAGGATAGCACACAACAAGTTGTTGTTACCATCGCTTCGAGGTTGGAAAATGGGGATCTGAAATTGAAAGAGCATTTACAGGAAGATGTTCTAGTTTTTTAGACAACACTATATGAAAATAAGTCGGGTGTTCCTTCCTGACGCTATAACTCTAACGCACGAACCAGTTTCCACGGTTTTGCAAGAATTTTATATAAAACGAAGCCAGCTGGTGGTGAAATGGAGTTCGCTGGGTTTCAGCTTGCCCAATTCATTTAAATAACTGTTCGCCAGTTTGCTTTTTAAACTGTCAAACACCAAGCGGTCACCGGTGACCGCAACCTATTGTTCTATAATTATGTCTATAATGACGGTACTCGACGAGTTAAAGCTGATCATATTTAAGCGTAGATCGATTGTCCTATCGTTAATTGTATTTCTATTCATTCTAAATTATATTCGTGACTATTTTTTTTAAATCTTATCAAATATTTATTTTTAACATAACATAACATCATGCCTTTTATCCGCGAAGGGGTAGGTAGAGGTATACATTATGCCAATGTACAATGTAACACCCACTTTTCACAATTTATGATATGAGTCCCATGTAATAGGAGGTGAGCCTATTACCATATACAAGGGACAATTCCAGACTCCGTGCTACTACTGAGAATTTATAAAATATTTTTTTAAATTTAGGTATACCTAAACTATATTTCTATTATATCAGTTATAAATAGATACACTTCTTTAACTATCTACCCTTACATTTGTCTACTCAATACATGATTAAAACAATAGTAATCCTTACCTGTGCTCCGGTGAGTACGACAGTCTTGCCGACTGACTCCAGCATGAAGGATAGGATGGAAGCTCCATACGCTGTCGTGTCAGTACCGTGCAGTACCACGAAACCATCATAATCGTGGTAGAATTTCTGCAAATAGGATATTTAATGATTAAAGTTATGTGATAATAATATACTTAGGTATAGTCAAGAGTGATTATGCAATATGTTTGTGGCTATAGACTAAATACTTAAAAAAGCGCTAGCTTTATTAGGTGACGCCACAAACATAGGGCGACGCTAACAAAAAGTAAGATCCTAATAGTTTAGTGACTTTGTCTAAATTACTTGATTTTTCTGTAGTGACTATCGTAGGACATACAAGATTATTTTTATAACGCTCACGTGAATCTATCATAGAGATGCCCGACAACCAGGACCCTGTCTAAGCTCGAAACTAGTCCGGGCGCTCAATCAAACCGCGTTATCAATCTATGCTTACTGATGTTTGTCTAAAGATCATTTTCTTGTTTGAACGCTAATCTTATCGTGTTAGTTGTATTATTGAGGGAGGTTATAGTTATCTAACACTTCGAAACAAAATACATGAGTTATTCTTACGGGACAAACGTCTCTATAATGATTTTAACTAAATAAGAAACGAATTGGCATACAATCTAGATACTTCTACAAATTCTATTCTTTGACTTAATCGTGAACCTTTTCGTCTGTTTTATATGGCTCATTATTATATTCGAAAGCATTAGATATCATTTTATAAGCAACAGTAATTTTTGTTTGGCTTTTCACTTCAGGGTTGATAGACATAGACACTATATTATGTATATGTATGTCTCTAATGATCTTTTAAGCCTTTGATTGCCGCCATAAAACTTTTGAAGGCAAATCCGCTAACGTAGGTCACCGTTGTCATATGCGGCGGTTAACGTGTTAAAGTCAGTTACCATCTGTTATATGAATATGTTAAATTAACTAAAATCGCGGGTTACTGACGTGAATATACTAAGAAAAGCTCTACTAGTTTCGAACTAGAGAGGGGTTCTTCCTCATGAGCAGCGTGGGCGGTCGCGGCGATGTCGCGCAGTTCACGAGTGTAAGCTTCTCACGCTGTGAGCTCACGAGCTCAGCAGCCCATGAGTTAATTTAGTATGTCTCACGATAGTTATTAGTAAAAATATGAATATGTTTGTGAATAGTTTACCTTTATATCTCTAGCCTGTGTTATCCAGTCGTCCATGGTGAAGTCTGAGGAGTCCTTCAGCTCATCATATTCATATATTTTGTACAACACTTTCTGTTCCGTGTCCTTGCCATCTGAGAAGATATTTGTCAATAAGATATTGTTGCTCTTTAAAGATGTTTTTGATAATATTTCATGTTATAATGAAGACAAAAAAACGTTAAACGATAAGCGATGTCATGTAATTTATTACAGTTGCGTCAGTCATCTTTTTCAATAATAATTTACTGTTAGACTTGAGTGAAGTACAGAGTAAACATCAAGTTGAAAATAATGATTTTATAATACACAATATTAGCTACAGTCGACTGCCACTTCGGTAAAACTGTGTCTTGCGAGCTCATAATGTGTTTGTACGAGCTACGCTGTACAGTACTACCCAATCACCCACTTTTAATAAAACGTTGCAGTTTAGTTAAGGCAATAATTATTACATATTTACAGACTATGTTTAGTAGCTATTAAACCTTTATACCGATCGGTTGTCTACTCCTTCAAAATCTCCATAACATTTTCACTGTTGGGAGTTAAGTCCAAACAGTGTTGCTAAGCACAAAACTCAATTGACGCAGCTGCATTGCATGCATCTTATTTTTTTGACAAAATAATATTCTTTGAAGAGAAAACGTCTTAGGAAAAAATTTAATAAATATTGGTTTTATTATTATCACCATCAACAGCCTTATATACCAGAGCACTCACTATTAGTCCCTGAGTATCCTCTACGAAAGAAGGCCAAATTTAGTATAACTATATAACTAACTATATAACTAACTAATATAACTAACGTCTAATGAATTGTAATCAGGTTAACGAACCTGGTATCACCAGATATTCTTTAAGGTCTGTTCCGGCAAGATTTTTCTCCCAGTAGACATTGTCATGTAACTGTGGCAGCTTTCTGATCACTCTTCTTTCTATGTCCTTTTGTGGCACCAGTACTGCAAAACAAAAAAAGAGTTTTATCGTAGTATACCATCGCACATTTTATTCCTTCAAAGTCGTAAGTAGACAGACATACATTTCTGTCACTTATTGTAATAATAACTTTGATGAAAGTCTAATGCTCTGAGCCCTCTAGTTATGTTTAACCCAAAAATCATTGGAAAGCATCGTAAGATAGTATTCTGTAGATAAGTACGACTCTTACAAGGAGTTTTCATTTTAGCATCAAAATATTTCTGCCATGATTGCTTTTTTGGACATTTCAATTACATTTTTTGATACGCATCAGGGAAGTTATAGAAACTATTATAGACTAAGATAGTGTTTATTTTATCACTGATAAAAACGACATGTTGGTTTAAATATCACGAGACTTAAAATAAGAGCTTCACAAAGCCTATTTATCACTTTGACGATGTTATCAATAGAAGATAACTTCAATGTTTTAATGAATTAATTCATTATTTATGTAGATACAGTTTACATTAACGTATTTTATGTTGTAGGTATTTCTTTCATTTACATTCAATTAACTGACTTGGATACAATACTAGACATGACTTAATTCAAAATGTAATAGAATTAAGTCATGAAAGAAAAGTAATTAATCATTTTTATGTCAAGCAGATTTCTTATGAAAAACTCTTAGTAACATAAGGTTCTATTTTTAGAAGAAGATACTTATTTACTTTGCACGACTGTGATAATTATTGCATTTAAGTACATAGCTAATTTTTAAGCAAATAGAACGTCTGGTAAATATAGATACGTATTTTATCTTTAATTATTTTTATGTATCTACAAAAAATAGATGTTAAAAAAACTAGAGTGAGTAAAGGATGTTTATAATAATTACTTCTGATTTTTTATTGTTTGTATTAACCTAGGGACTATATACCTTACTTCTTAAACATTTGCATAGAATGCCGAGAGCAGAAAACCATAATCAGAATGGTAGTGTAAAGTATTAACATAACATAACATGTTAATGTAAAGTATTGGTCCTTTAAAAATTCATACAGTTTATATTTCTTTATAATTTACTAGCGATCCGCCCCGGCTTCCCACGGTTGCAATATGCATGTATTATACATTTACACCTTCCTTAAGAATCACTCTATCTATTAAAAAAACTGCATCAAAATCCGTTGCGCAGTTTTTAAGATCTAAGCATACGTAGTCTAAGATATAAGTTTATACTATGTAGTGATTTTTTACAAAACTATATATGATTCAAACTAGGATTATAAGGAAAATAAATTTCACAACATCAAAAAATAATGCCTTACTTTAACCAACATAAAAATATTAAAAAAAAAACATAATTTGAACCACTAACCTCCTTTTTCATTTTTCAGCATACCAAAAGTGCCTCCAGTATAGATAACAAGAATCCTCTTATTTTGCACCATTTTTTATAAATTATACTTTATTTTCTACTAAATAAAGACCACTTTTATTAATGAAGCAAGATACTGAATGAGATATTTTATATAGATGCCGACACTTATACTGTTACACACGATGTTAAGATTCGCGGCGTATCTTCGGATCCAAGGTCGCTGTGTCTCGCGTCGTGTGTACCGTGACGTATGAACTGGCCTGAGATGAGTGCATAACTGACTCCAAGTAAAGCATACTAACTAAACATTATTAATTTAAATGATGTAATAACTGCTAGTTATACAGGTTGATGCATATTTTATATTTTTGTCAATAAAACGTTGCCCCGTACTAGGGTTTTCTCCTGTGTCGTGGGTGCATTTACAAACATACAAGTTCACTACACAAAATATCTAGCTAGACCCGAAACAACAAAAATGTACGGATCATTATAGAGTTGCTACGTCCGAGAATTCAACCCGAATAATAAACCGGCAGACACTTGAAGAGAAATAAAAAAAAGTGAATTGTTTGCATTGTCGTTTTAGCTGAATTAAAGCTGAATTTTTGCACTCGATTGGTGGTTGCAATCGAAACTACTAAGCACAGCTCTGGCTTGATATTAGACTCACATCGCATCGCTCGTACACAAAACGCAGTTTTGTGCGCAGCGCAACGCAAATGCGATGCGACGTCGCCGCGCAGTTTTGTGTACGAACACCGTATAAATGCACAATATTATTTAAAAGAGTTTTGAAGATATATCCTTCGTTACACTTATTAACACCCCGTACCTATAATACTAATTATACTTCTGAGGCCTTTGTCCAGCAGTGGACGTATTACGGCTCTTGATGATGATGATGATGATGAATAGCACACTTCTGACCTATGGGCCGGCCTCCTTTAATAGGAGAGTTTGCCATAATCTCCACACTTAGCAGACGGGTTAGAGATCACAGTTTAAAAGATTCTTTAGAAAACATTACTGTCTTCATCGAATGTCTAGCCCTTTAATCAAATTTTTCATAAAAAAGCTGATGAAACGAATAGCCATTTGAGTGAGATACAAATAACGATTTGATCCTTTGGAGACAGGGTTTTGAAAAGTTTCAGGCGCACAATACAAATACATCCTTTATCCTTTACAGGATAAAAGATTAGATGTTCGTATGTTTTCACTTTACATTATTCATCATCATCATCAGCCTGTTTTCGTCCACTGCTGGACATAAGCCTCTCCAATGGCACGCCACTGAGCTCGGTCTTCAGCTCTACGCATCCAACCACTACCAGCCACTTTACGTATATCGTCACTCCACCTAGCTGGAGGACGCCCTACACTACGTTTGCCTAGACGCAGACTTTACATTATTGCATAATATTATTTAATACGTTATATAAAATATTACCTACCACAGTTGTTAGCACTAACACAAGCTAGTGCCGTGCGATATTGAACTGTGTGCCACTTTAACGTAAGTATATAATTTGTTTACTACCCTTTTGATCTTATTACTCTTCCATCTCAACCTAAAGAACGTCTGTCGGCGACGTGTGCGTAGATATCTCGCTAAATCTCGAGAACGGCTGAACCGCTTTAGCTAATTTTGGTCTTGGAATGTTCGTGCAGGGGAGGTTTAAAAGATGAGTAAAAACATTTTATGCTCCACTAAGTTTGCCAGGTCAGCTAGTTTTCAATAAACAACATAACATAACATCACGCCTTTTATCCCCGAAGGGGTAGGTAGAGGTGCACATTATGACACTTAATGCCACTGTACAATGTAACACCTACTTTTCACTATTTATGTTATGTATTAGGGGGTGACCCTATTGCCATATACCGGGCACAATTCCAGACTCCGTGCTACTACTGAGATTTTTTTTAAAACCTAGTAATACTTTGCCCGACCTGGGAATTGAACCCGAGAACCCCCTGTCCGGCAGTCGCACTTGCGACCCCTCGGCCAGTGAAGCAGTCTTCAATAAAATGTTAAACAAATTATATTGAGTTTTAATATATTGTGTGTGTGGCAAGAATACATACTGTAGTTAATATAAATATTCATTGATATGAAAACATGGACGATAAACGATGAAGGGAAAATTTACATCAACTTTTGCCGGTTGTGATACATTACTTCCATAAAAGAAGTACGAGGCCATTGAGATCTAAGTATGGCTGTACTTAAATATTAAGTACTTACATATTAAAATTTTGTTCGTGCAATAATTTCGTTAATATACGTCTGATAATTACATGAAAGAACTTTTTAGCGAACATAGATTTTGGTGAAGCCTTTGCAGTTTTCTTTTTTATTTTATGATTCTAAATGTGACCACTATCTCGCCTGGTGGTAAACGATGATGCGGTCTACGATGGAGCACATCGACCCATAAGCAACATAGCATAAATGTTAGTATAATTTCGTTATGTCACGTGAATCTGTCATCTGTAGTGACCAATATGATAAAAACAAATTAATACTTTCTAAGTTCGGGGCTCTAACCCAAGACTTCGAAACAGTCGGGCATAAAAGGATATCATCATGTTAAAGTTCTTGGACGGTGTTTTTATAGGACATCAGGCATTGAAACGTGTTCAGTCGTCGCCGTTGTGTCATTCATTTTTTAATGGGACAAGCCCGCCACAACCTCCCAAAACCGCTGCAACTCCTGTAAGCCAGGATCTTCAGTAGATACAACCATGAAAACACCGGAACACTGAAGTCCGGCGCGTCCCAGGGACATGAGTAACTGTCTTGGTTCCCGCAACGAAGTGAATCAGAAGATATTATAAGAGGAGAAGAAGAAAAAACTATGGTTTTCACTTCCCTCGGTGAATTACTGCAGGAGACAGAATGAATTAAGCCTAAAGGCACAAAGAAGAGACTGTACAACTGGGTGAAGCCCAGTCGCCAAGCACCACGGAAATTTGACTAAAAACTAAGTGGGTCCTATGTGTGAGCTGTTATACTTGCTTCCAATAATAGGTATGGCAAAAACGCCTAAACGCACGGAAATTCGTTCTAGATTCCACAAGGTCCGTATAATAAACTACACCTGACGAAACAATTAAATTATTTAACATAGTGTTACGTTCATATTGCCAGAGATCACACTCCCAGAGTATGTGATGGGCCGACTGCTCGTATCGCAACTCCTCTGTCGAACATTGGCACCATGGTGAATCAATAAGTTTAAATGAGAACAATTTGCTTTTAAAGTTGCCGTGGCCAGTAAGAAATTGGGCAACACAGTGATCCACCTCCAACCATGTCCTCTCCAGCCGCTCATGCACGGATGGGAAGAACTGATACAGGTGGCGGCCCTTAATAGAAGATGCCCATCTACACTGCCATTCGGTTATAAGCTCGCCCCAAACGTCCGTCACTGGCTTAAACAATCTATCAATTTTATTTCTATCACGTTGTGCTAGAAAGCTTGCTGACAAATTAGGCCTCGCACTGTAGTACATAGCAGCACGTCGCTGCACCTCAAGATCTACCGGAAGGACGCCTGCGAGCACAAGTAGGGCCTCAGTGCTAACCGTCCTATAGGCCTTACACAGGAAAATCAAGGCTAGACGCTGGCCTTGGAGAAGTTTTCGCCGTACCGCGCCTATTGTGGCCCTATCAGCCCAGACAGGTGCCCCGTAGCACACGCATCCTAGGTAGGTTGCTCCGTATATGATCCTAAGCGTAAGAAAAGAGAGACCCCAGGTGGCTTTGGAAATTCGCGTCAGCGCATAGAAGCGTTGTGTCATTCAGCCAGTAATCTGCATCTACACTAATAGTATAAAGAGGAAAGATTAGATTTTTTGTTAGTTTGAATTGAATCTACTCCAAAACTACCGGACCCATTTTAATTTTTTTTTTTTACCCTTGGAATCCTACATTATCGATGATTGTCATAGTTAAGTTAATTTTTCAAAGCCGCATCGAAAAATATTATAAGTCATTTTTCTTCGTTCAGAATCAGTGTCGCTGTCACTAAGGACGCTCGGTTCTGCTGCGCAAAATATATTTAGAGGTACAATGCGTGTGCTAAAAATGTGTAGAAGTTACAAAGGTCAATTCTAAAATAACAAAATACTATTCATTTGATAAGCTATTTGTTCTTATAAGTTCAAGAAAACAAATATAAATTTGTTACTTAGATATTAAATATCTAAGTAACAAATTATATAAATTCAAGTACACGATGCCGTTATGTATGGAAATGTTATCAGTTTATGAATAAGTATAAGTAAATACACATTTACAATCATGCTGCTAGTGCGAAAAATTTGTTATTTAGTCGAATTAATCTAAAATAAGTTACCATACTTGGTTATCGTACTCCTAAAATTTGTTATTACAGCATAATAATATTTATTTTCTATTCTTGGTGTCATCGTTAAGAAGAACGGAGCAGTGCCACAACGTCGCTTAGAACTTTTGTAGCAAGTAGCATAGCTGTAACGTAGGAGTGGTGTACCAGTGGCACTAGTCCACACTAATGGTACACACAGCCACCTACGTTACAGTAGAAATTGTAGCTGTAATGATACCAGTATCGTAGCACTGGTGTTGCTAAGGTATAACAGTAACTAGCTGCGGCATGGTAGCAACGTAGCAACGCTGTAGCAATGGCGTTGCAGCTTTATAGCATTGGTGTAGCAGCGGCGTAACAGTGGCGTAGCAGCGGCGTAGCAGTGGCGTAGCAGTAACGTAGCTGTGACGTAGCACTAATATAGCTGAAATGTAGCTATGCAGTAGTAAATACGTAGCGATGGTACAACTATGGCGTAGTAGTATCGTAGCAGTGGTAGCTATGACGTAGTAATATCGTAACTACGGCCACTGTGGCGTAGCAGTGGAGCAGCTGTGGTGTAGCAGTATCGTAGCAGTGCTCTAGCTACTAGCTGTGCAGCAGTATGGTAGCAGAGGTTTTGCTGTAGCGTAGCAATAACGTAGTAGTAATGTAGCTATAGCGTCGAGGTAACACAGCAGTGGTTCAGCTGTGGCGTAGTAGCTCCGTAGCAAATGTGTAGCTGTTGTAGCAGGCTAGTAGCAGTGGTATAGCTGCGTCGTAGCAGTGACGTAGTCAATTTGGTTATAGGAACAATTCAATACAATAAAATCCCAAAATTAACCGGTTAAAATATATTTAATTTTATAATATTGCTTACAATACTAAATAACATGGATTAAATAATAGAATATAAAAAGTATTGTTTAAAAAACCTAGTAATTATAAGACCTCAGCTTCCTTTTGGCCTGATTGTACTTGACCACATGCGCAATGAGGTCTTTATGGCCCTTTAAATAAGTTATATTCTGCAATATGTATGCAACATTGCATTAAGTATAAGTAATCACTAATTAATCACAACCATGGAGATGATTAATAAATGTTCAATACAAAACTAATAATCATAAATCATAATGAAAACTATACGTCATACTGACTATAATTTAGCATCTAAATTAAATCTTGTACTTATAATCTTCGAGACCAATTTACTCACAGCCAAAATTGGCAGAAACCTATAAAATTTTGATGCCAGATCATCAACGTACCCAATAGGTCTTTCTTTGATTTTCAACTTTATTCTTTCAAAATACCTAAAGTTGGAACTCTGTTGATAAAATAATTTAGACAGATTGGGATAATCATGTGTGTAGAATTTTACGATACTAGAAAAAATCCACAAAATAACAAAATTAACAAAATTGTACCAATTATAATAAATACCAAGGAACTTCGATCCGTTTACATTATTATCGTAGCATTTAATATTTGATAACCTCCTGTAGATTTGGGTTATCAATACTTCAATAGCATACTTTTTCAAACCAAACTATAAACTACTTCGGACGTACAAACATAGAAGTAACTGCACAGCGTAATAATAATTATTGATATAAAATAATAGATTATATCTTAAAAGAGGTTACTCTTCATAAACTGCGAATAAAGCAGATATAATAAAAAATCTCCTAATCTTTCGACATATCTTTCTACCTTAAACACTGAAGCATATGAAAGCCACAAAAGTTACGAACAGAACTTTGCTCAGAAGATGAACAGTAGACGCACCAGGAGCAGGCGTAGTGGTTTCGGGACCAAGCGTTGTTTCGGGACCAAGCGTTGTTTCGGGACCAAGCGTTGTTTCGGGACCAAGCGTGGTTTCAGGATCAGGCGTGGTTTCGGGAGCAGACGTGGTCGTGGTTTCGGGTTCAGGAGTCACATCTCTCTGCTCATCAGGCAATGGAGGGTCTGCCTCCTGTCCATCAGTAGCGAAACGTCTACCCCAAATAGCAAATGTGTATAATTCTGCCAATTTGTTTGTCAACGTCATTGTATGTACTGTGACGTCACTCTGTTGAACCTTGGTGTAGGTGAAGTCCTTTGATTCTAAAGGCATAACGGTGACCTTTGATGATACGGGGTAGACTATGGAGTCGTCTGTGTCAAGGGAGGAGACTAGAACTGGTGTTGGCATAGTCGCTGTGATTACGAGCTCGTCAAAAATGCCTGTCGTATTTGCTACGTAGGTTGGCAACCTGCAACAGATACATAATTTTGTAATTGGAATTCCATTAGTAGATAGTAAAAAAAATAATATAGAGGTATAAATACAATTAACTACTTTGAAAATATTAAAATTAAAAAAAAAAAGAAAAACAAAACTTTGTATACTTTGTCTTTAATCTGCAATGAGTTTCAGTTCGCTAGTAATCCTGGTATTTGCGACACAACAGATAGTGTCGAAAAATCAAAAAACAAAAAAATCTTAATCAAAATTTCAAACTACGACAGTTTTAAAACTTAAATAAAGATTGAAGTTAACTTTACCTGTCTCCGCAGGTTCTTCTGTTCTCATCAGTACATGCGTAGACGCCACAAATTCTAACACCGCCTGTTGCTACACCAGAGTAGGAGCGTACACCACTGAAAACTCCCGCTCTATATCTGTAGTGCTGAAATTAAATAATTATAAAATAAAATAATTTACAAACAATATTATACAAAGGTAACTAATTTTCATATTCTGTCTGTCGAAAGCTGTATTTAAGTTACTTATATACTGATAAAAACTTGTTACTATTCTTTGTTGTGGGTTCCTCTAATTCTTTCTTCTGGTCTATTTGATTAATTCCTGGTCTAATTAAAATAAATGATTTTGACTTTGACTTTGACTCTAAGTCAAGATCAAAAAGTTAAATAAATAGTCAATATTTTAATTATAATGAAAAGTGTACGTCTCTGACTACGTATGCCTTGTAGGCCAAATTCCTATGCTCCAAAAGGCCTGCAACGCACTTTTTTATATTTGATGGGCCGACGTTTGACCACTATCTCGCCTGGTGGTAACCGATCATGCGGTCTACGATGGAGCACCTTATCCCATAAGCAAACTATTCAACCTATACTTGTAACTCCACACTGGTGTTCCACGTGTCCATGTACAGCGCCGTTTGCATCAAGTGATTTGTCGGCTCGTTTTCACATACTTAAAAATCATATAAACTGGTAACTGAATGATGTTTGAAAACTCCACAAAGAATGCATGAAGGTGATAAATGAAATAAAGAAAAGAAATGCATTGAGACATAATTATTTAATTCATATAATGTCACCACAAACGTAGTTTCGGTCTAATAGATAGTTCTCTATTGACCAAAGGATATTAGACTAAGATGTACTTATAGGACACAATATTTTCATCCATTATGTTATTTTATTTCATTGTTCATGTTATAATTCATGTCTATATTTGGCAAGCGATTATGACTATTATTATACTTAAACTAAACAATAAATTTCTATGAACTTGTTACCTAGTATCTAAGTATTTTAAATAATTTTACAGCTTTCATCACAATGTTTACAATTCAGTATCTTTTTACGTAACCTTTAAATTCGATAAATCATCCAAAACAATCAGTCTTTCAATCAACGTATAATAATATTATCACATACTAAAGAAATACATTATTGATTTTAAACACTTCTAATACAAAAAAGAAATTGAATTTCGAAACTAGATCCATGATCATCAGTACTCAATACTATAATTATACTACATCAAACACGATTACCACGTCGTAAACTTTTTTGAAATAACGTTCAAAATAAGTTGAATGTGACACAAAATTGTACTAATTTTGTATTAAAGTTTTATCTCCACACACGACTTCACGTAGTTACACACAGCCACACATCAACCTATACATAACCAGTTTATCCTGGTATCGCGTCGCATCATCTTTCCGTACATTTAACGTTCAGTTTATACCGGTTATGTAAAGCTTGATGTGTAGCCGTGTGTACACACATTTGTTAACAAATACTATACTACCCTATAGGGTAGTTTAGTTTCCTAAATTTCATTTTAATGTCCGTCTGGTAGATTGTTTTAAAGCAATAGACTCGTATTGTTTCTTTTCTCAAAAAATTTAATGCTTTATATTGATTTGAAATGTCGCGCCAGGTCACAGCGTGCTACAAAATGTACCACGTTGTGACGTAACTACCTCCCACTCCTAAACTTTATACGACAAAATAAAAAAATACGTGTCTAATATTTTTTCATTTTTACTGACGGACTAATTAGATTTTTAATTTTTTTACCCTGGAAACTACCCTATGCTATGGTACAGTTGCTAAAGAACTTGTCTTTACGTAATCTTAAAAAAAATTACAAAATAACAGCGTATCAGACCTATTTTCCCAAAAAACAATTCGACGTTACAATCACAACTATCTTAGTACTTCAAACAGTTTGAAAACATGGCACAATTATTTATATTTTATATAATTAATTCGGTTTACCTCGTTGGCCGAGTGGTCGCAAGGGTCGGGCAAAGTATACCTCGGATATTTAAAAAAAAATCTCAGTAGTAACACGGCGTCTGAAATTTGGCCCGGTGTATAGCAATAGACTCATCCTCTATTACATTGGATTCATAACATAAATAGTGAAAAGTGGATGTTACATTGTACAGTGGCATTAGGTGTCGTAATGTAAATGATGATAATGAATTATTCAGAACTGAATATATCGTCTAGTAACGTGTTGAAGTTTTGTATATCTTCTTCTGACGCCTGCTTATTATGATCAACGTCTCTGGTATAAACTCTGCCCCAAATACCAAATGCCACCAGCTCATTTTGAGGCACATTTATCTTGAACCGGAGAGTCTCTCGACTCTTTTTACTCAGAATTTCGTGCTGTAACACCGATATTGTGTTCTGGTCCTTCGGTTCGCAGTGCTGGTCCTTTTCTTTAACAGTGTATGTAAAGTTCTTTGGACTCAGTGGGAATTTGTTATATCTCAGTGTTACTGGGAAGTATTCAATGTTGTCACATTGTAATGTATCGTTGTACGTGTTCTCGTATGTTCTCATCTCTATTTCTAGTTTTTCTACTGTGATTTCTTCTTGTTTGTTAAACCTGTAACGGTTAACATTAAATTAATTATTATATACTAGCTTTTACCCGCGGCTTCCCTCGCGTCACAAAAGGATAAAAAGTAGCCTATGTATGTGACATATACGAATACACACAGCGCCATCTATACCAATACTTTTGTTTTCCCTCAGGAATATCAAATTTTTCCGAGATAAAAGTACCCTATTATTTAATCCAGATTTCTAACTTTACGCCTGAAAAAAATCAAAGCAATTGGTTTAGAAGTTACGGCGTGAAAGCGGAACAAACAAACAAACTCACTTTCCCATTTATGATAGTAAGGAAGGATGATAAACACAGTCATGGCCCCAAAATAATATTATTGTAGTGCCGTATAAAATGGATTCACTATATGGCTAACCTAAGTCAAATAAAAAATTTTCGCTTTCTGCCTGCTTACAGTCTTCATTGCTATAAGGGGTCAAAGATTCACAGAAACTATGAAATCTTTTATTGTATAATAAAATTTTATCATACCTATAAGGACAAGAGTTTACGTCATCAGTTTTGCAAGCGACAAGGAGGCAGGCGGCGACACCTACTTCACGCCTTGCATACGTGTTGGTCCCATCTTGAACAAAGGCTCGATAGTACACCGGCTGGCAAAAGGACAACAAATTATTAAAATTGTGATCTTCTTTAATGAAGAAATGTATTTTATGGGAAAGGAAGTCCGAGAAGAATTGTGACAAAGAATGACAGATGTATAGATTGTGTTAGACTGGCCATATTGTAGTCGTTAAAACATTTTACAGTTAATCATATATACGCAATGTAATAAAATGTTTTGACGTTCAAAAGTGCCATTCTGGCCTAATTGAAATAAATGATTTTGACTTTGACTTTGATAAAAAATTAATTTAATTAAGGTGATAATGTTAGTACAAATTAAATTGTAAGGACAACAAAACCATTAAATGTATGCTTACAGAATATGTGAACATTACAGACATTAAAACATAAATAGAAATAATAGAAGTTACTTACCTTTATCATGCACTACACACTACTAAAGCAAGCAGCTAGATCACGCTAGATACTATTTTAATAAAGTAATATCACACCACAGAGTAATTATAATACTGGTAGGTATATAATACAGAGTGACAGTGAAGCCGTGCAAATAACTATCCTTGTCAAACGTGCAAAATGCAGTGCGGTGTTAGTAGCGGCTGATTATAAAAATCAAATAATAATTAAAACATACTCAATGCTAAAAAACGTTTTAATAACTACCACAGAACAATTATCATACTGGTACATAATACCGATCGACAGTGAAGACGTGCAAATAACTATCCTTGTCAAACGTGCAAAATGCAGTGCGGTGTTAGTAGCGGCTGATTATAAAAATCAAATAATAAGAACAAACTCAATGCTAAAAAGCGTTATAATAACTACCACAGAATAATTATCATACTGGTTCATAATACCGATCGACAGTGAAGACGTGCAAATAACTATCCTTGTCAAACGTGGAAAATGCAGTGCGGTGTTAGTAGCGGCTAATTATAAAAATAAAATAATAATAATAACATACTCAATGCTAAAAAGCGTTATAATAACTACAATGCAAAAATAAAAACTCCAAACTGCATTACGCAACGACGCATCATGCAATTATAACATAAATTAATTCATGCATTAAAGAACTCGACAAATAAAATTCTAATGTCAACTTACCGTGTTGCCTTCCCTCTGGGCGAGAGTGACCCTGAAGGTGCAGGATACGTCCTTATCCACCAAGGTGAACTCCTGCGAGCCTAGTTCCAGCAGCCTGCTGACGTGGGACGGTAAGGAAGGATCTACGATTAGTTTCAAGTTATCGTGGTTTGCTGGCTCATCGTAGATGGGGCCTGGGTACGGCTCTGTAACCTGGAATGATGGATTTATAATTTAGGGGTAAGCTTTATTAGAAAGATCTAGGTGTTTACTGGGTGTTTACGAATCATGACAAAAAAGGTTGATCGTCGTCAGCTGTATGCAAACACAATGAAATCGTTTTAAATCTTATTGATTTAGATCACTTCTGGGTAGGAACTTCTCTTCCTCTTACTCTCTCGATTTCCCTCTCTTTCTCTATTACTCTCTATTTCTCGATTTCCTTTTCTTTCTTACATATACATACAGAATGGGAATATGTATCAGAGACATTGTAGAATATACTTTTTTAAAAAGAGTAACGAATGGAGTTTCTTGCTCGTTCTTTTCCATTTGAATCTACATTTTGGAATGAGCACCTAGCTTCACCTAGCTTCACTGACGGACTGACTGACAGACTATTATTTATTTTGTATTTGTTGACGTTTCAAAAGTACCAAATTATGGTTTAATTGAAATAAATGCTTTGACTTTGACTTTTTCCACTCATTTCTAGAGATCACAATACTGCTAACATTAAATAGACGATTATTAAATAGAATAGTCTATTTAATGTTCGATTCGGTTCGATTTCCGGGTTGGGCAAAGTATTACTGGGTTTTTTAAAAAAAATCACAGTAGTAGCACGGAGTCTGGAATTGTGCCCGGTACCTACATGGCAAGAGGCTCACCCCTATTACATGGGACACGTAACATGAATAGTGAAAAGTGGGTGTTACATTGTACAGTGGCATAATGTACACCTCTGCCTTCCCCTTCGAGATAAAAGGCGTGATGTTATGTTATGTTATTAAATAAAAGTAACACTTACTTGACCAGGAACTTTGGGCACTTTAGCTACGAGCACTTTAGTGGTGGGTAAACCAGGCATGATACTGATTAGGGCACCCGCCTTTCCGGAATATATTCCGGAACCTGAAAAATAAAAGTAATATTTTTATACATAAAATATCATCAATATTCTTTCTTAATAACTACGTAATAAAGAAATAACTATTTATAGACGAACTACATTCTTATTGTGTTAAGTATGTTAATGAAACTGTTATAAGTTTGCATGCATGTGGTCACGCATCATCATCATCATCATCATCATCATCATCATCATATCAGCCACAGGAAGTCCACTGCTGAACATAGGTCTCCTCTAATGACTTCCATATAGGCCGGTCACGCATATCTAATCAAAATCGATGTCTCATACCTGCACTGCCAACCCTGACATTGTTAGCTCCAGCTCCTAAGAAGTTCACATCAAGGGAGTAGGCGTACGCCTCTTGGATTTGCACAGCTGGAAACATATACAAAGGGGTTACTATACATCGACATATATTATCCTCCCTTTTTCAAAGATCATTGTATACGCAAACGCAAAGAACGCTCTCGAAGCCTTGATAAAATGAAATACAAAACATTTGGATTTCAATGCACAGCTGCACCTAATAAGTATTTTTTGACCAACCTGTCAAATATGGCAGCTCAGAGAACCACATAGTGGGAAAAATGACATTCTTGACTTTACTCTTCTGCACGACCTGTACGGCTGGTACTTGGAACATCAGATCGAAGCAGATGAAGTGGCCAAAGGTGACGCCGAAGTCAGTGTCAAATACTCCTAGGTCCGGATTCAATGCAGGCGTATGAGCAAATTCACCGAATAAGTTGATCTTGCGGAACCTGGAACGCAAAAATGTTTATACTTGTTACACAATCTCGTCTAAACGGTAGAAGAGATTCAGATGAAACAAGGGTAAATTGTGGTATGAGTCCTTAGTACGAGTTTGAATTACGTTTAAAGTATTGGAAACGAGTGCGCGCTCTAAGCTCTGATTGGCCGGCTCAAATGAACCAACCAATCAGAGCGCCGAACGCGTACTCGTTTAGAATACTTTAAACGGAAAACAAACTCGTACTAAGACTTCAAGAACAACACATAAGTTTTTAACCACAGGCAGAAAGTAGTATACTAATAGATGTTATATTATGTTTAGACTCTTAGTTTTTGGACAGCCAACGAAAGCCAAACGCCGTAACACAAACATGTTAAGCTCAGAAGATCACAAAAATCACGTAAAATGATGCATCGCATCAATTTTTTTTCTTTTTTATTTCATAAAGCTGTACAACACAATGCTATCAGACGCCCTTTAAAAGTTATCTAATCAGATATTTCCTCATCTTGTTATAATAGTCACACTCCCAGTCTCCAACTTGAAGTAGATGATAACTTACCTGTTGATGACCTTGCCAGTCCTGTCAAAGACGACGTTGGTATTGAAGATGTACTGCTTCGCCTCCGGGCAGTACTCGCCTACTGCTTGCGGTACTGTGCAGTCCAACAGCTCACGACCGTTGATTACCACATAGATGTCATTTTGACGCGCAGCGTTTGATATCGTGACCATGAACTGGAAAGTGTAAAAAAAAATTAGTTCCTAAAGCCGTGGATGCAACCGACGATCGCCGCGACGGTGCACGCTGCTCATGAGCAAGAACCCATCTGTGGTTCGAAACTAGTAGAGCTTTTCTCAGTATATTAACGTGAGTAACCCTCAATTTTAATAAATTTAGTATGTCTCACGTTAGTTATTATATGTAAAAACAATGTAGTTTCTGTGATCCTTTCTAGTTATGTCTACAATTAAATTTGTACGCACCTCATCATACAAAGTAGGACTCAAAGCCGGGACAGGGTGGTCTCGTAAGTTGCCATATATCGGCACTTCGAAGGTAGTCGAGCCATTGGTGAGCGTTAGTTCTGGGAACACCACAATATCAGCACCCTGGAAACATAAGCATATGGTTTATTTCACCTGCATGACAAAATGCTTGTAACGTATTAGCTGGTACCTGGTACTATACGGCTTTGGGCAATACTTGATAAAAATAATCAAGAATCCGTGTGAGCTGTCTTTAGTTTTTTTTTAAACAGAAATCGGTACATAAAGAATGACCTTAGGCAGCGTTTCGGCTGGCTTCCTGGCCCCAGTGCATTCCAAAAGTCAACAGTTCATAACATAAATACCTAAATATTCATCAGAAAAACTTACACTGTGCGTCCTTTTTTAAAAGGAACGAAACTAATGCATGAAATCTTAGTAAATAGGTAAGTACAGTTCGCTTCAACACACCAGTACCCGTCTATTTTATAAATCGCCATGGATACTTTAAATACATACTTAAAACGTTAAAGGGTAAAAAGATGTGTACCAAAATACTACTTGTATTGTATGGTGATAGTTTTCTTATTTTCGGGAATTTTAAAGGGCGTTCCGTAACATGAACGCGACCTGGTAGACGAACATGTCTATGATCATTTAATTCAAAGCTACGCCAATTTTAGGATTTGATAGGTGTGGGAGAGCCATGCTTCGGCACAAATGGGCCTGCTCAACCGGAGTGATACCACGGCCTCATAGAAAACCGACGCGTGAGTGAGGTTACCGGAGGCCTAATTACCCTCCCCTTCCCCAATCTCCCCAATCCCTGAATCACCAACGATCCTCAAACTCCAAATCCCCAAAAGGCCGGTAACGCACTTGTAACGTCTCTGGTGTTCCAGGTGTCCATGGGCGACGCCGATTGCTTACCCATCAGGTGATCTGTTAGCTCGTTTACCGGCTTATGCCAAAAAAAACATGATATGTACAATTTTTATTCATTTAAATGAGATAATAATAACACAAACCTGATCAGCAGCGGTCTTAATAAGATTGGCGTAGTTTAAGAGGTTCGTTGCCACATTCCCAGTAACTGTGTACTCCACCACAGCTCCTACGTAGTGGTCATCTTCAGGGGTGGATTTCTGAGGGAAAGATTTTAGCTTAGTAACACTTGGATCCCCAATTGGATACTCGTCTTACTGACCAAAGTTAATCTGATAGAGAAGTAAGTACATTTCAATAGAGAAGTAAGTACATTTTAATAAAGACGTCATCATCAACAGCCACTGCTGAACATAGCCTCTTCTCACACGGAGAAGGTTTGAGCATTAATCATCAAGATTGCTCAATGCGGATTGGCGATTACAAACTTATAATAAGAAATTATAAGCCCAGGTTTCCTCACAATGTTTTCCTTCACCGTTTGTCAGTTGTGTCTAAATATTTTTTGAAATAACGACGTGAGATGTCTATTAAGTACATTATATCGTATATTATAATTTCTATAATATTAAGATAATTGGGATATACCTAATAAGAATACCATTTCGCCATACTAAACTTCCACATGATTGTTAGACTAGACAAAAACACTAGATCATTTCCCTGACGCAATTACAGTTAGTAGGTACTTATAGACCACAAAAAATATTTATTATATTATATTTATTATATGTGTGCGTTGATGTAAGATCAAATCTAATTTGAAATTTTAGAGTCTAATACTCATCTAAGAAGGACTAAACATGGAAAACATATAAAATAATGTAAATAAGTAATTAATATTCTAGTATTCTAGAGGAAGAATAATTTGTTTGCCCCATTCATACATTTTATTATCGTTTGATAAATGAATCTATTACAATGACCATAAATCACTGTTTAAATGACATTATTTATTTATTTTTAAACAATGTATACCACGTAGGATATTGTATTAAAAAAAACAATACAATCCAAGCCAAAGAACTCAATATTATAAACAAGTTTTTAAATCTATAGTCGTAAACAATTTTCCTCTTGATTTTAATGCCAATAATATTTACTTCCTAGTTATACACACAGACGTAGATAATGTAAATGTTCACTGGATCACGGAAAACAAATTACGAAACTAATCATCACTAAATTCTTTGTCCACAATGATCGATGAAATCGCAACACCACAAAACGCCGGTCAATAAGTACATCAAAGAAAATGTAGCACATCATGTAAACACAACAAACAAAGGCACATAAATACTACCTCTATATTATCTTTATTCAAGCCAAATCAATTACTTCAACACTTTACCTCATAAGAATTTATCACTAGACTTAAGAATGTCAGCACACTTGTTATCTTCATTGCGAAAGAAACAGCTGATGATGTTTAGATGTAAACAAATGATTAGTCGCCGGAGTTTTGGTCGAGGCCTCCGCTTGGTCGGGAGCCTCGCTCGCTACTGCCCTGCGACCGCGCTTGCGTACCGCGCTGACTTAATCATACTCTGACCTAGAACGTGTTCCTAGGTCAGCTTTGTTTATAAATCGGACATACTTTAGGTCATTTACATTTATAGCTGTTATTGGTAGAATTGACATCAGGTGAGCAGCTTGGTCTACTTCTTTGTTGTTTGTTAATTAGGTTGCTGATGCTTCCGTATTCCCAAGTCTCTTTAGGTACAGCTACGATATGCCTTCAAATGGGAACAATAAAAGATGTATTCATGTTGTAGCTACCAGAGAAATGTCTAATACGTTTAGTACCTATAGTAAAAATAATAGCTAAACTAATCATAACAAGCTTTCAATTAAAACAATACACAAACGCCGTTTCTAATAACAAATTGATAACGCAAAACAATATAATAGCGTATGCAAGCATTTATTTTAAAGTTGGCTCGCTCACGTCCATGCAACTACGCAATATTATGATGAATTCGTGGAAATGACAACACGAGTCAATGAAAATATGTACATCCCCCTTCCCTTCCAATGCAAGAAAGAGACAATAAGAATGATGACAGGGTATGAAAATTAATAATCTAATTAGTCAGTCAGTTAGGTAATGCAAAAATATTACACATGTATTTTCTTATAGTGTCGTATAAGAAAACAATACTTAGATAAAACGAATCAAAGTTTAGGAGTGGGAAATAGCTACGTCACTATAGAGTATAAATCGTACACAAATGTGACGTCATGCGATATTTCAAATCAATATATCTCCGAAACTATTTGATTCCGTAAGAAAATAAAAAATACGTGTCTAATGTTTTTAAAAATCTACCAGACGGGCATTAAAATAAAAATTAGTCATCTACCCTCACTAAACTAATGATGGCGCATCTAGCTGATAGTATTTGAGAAACGAGAGAAAGAGACAGTACTATATGCATTAAGATTAGCATCGATTCAGCGGTCAGTTGTTCAAAAGGTCAATGACCTACACAACTACAGCACAGTGAGTACAGTTTGTGTTTCATTATGTAGTTACTATGTACTCAATCGACACGTGTTGGGTAATACCCCTGCCCCTGACTATAATCGAATTGCAATGTAGACGATACGAATATATATACAGTCTGCTGTGACTAAATCGCAACTATATTTAAGTAACAAGACAAAATAAAACAATGTCGCACTTTGAAATTACTGATCGTTGCAAGATTAAAAAAACATTAATGATTTTTTTTACTATTGATATAAGTTTATGTCATGTAATTGTAAAGTAACAATGTGTGTTCGTTCCATTATTACATTTATAATAATTTATAACATAACATATCACGCCTTTTTAGCCCTGAAGGGGTAGTCAGAGGTGCACATTACGGCACTTAATACCGCTGTACAATGTAACACCCACTTTTCACTATTTATGTTATGACTCCCATGTAATAGGGGGTGAGCCTATTGCCGGGTACAAGACTCCGTGCCACAACTGAGATTTAAAAAAAAATCCCCCGTTATACTTGTCTGACATTCGGCCAACGAATCTATTACCTAAGTATATCAAAAATCGAACGTAGAAACGAAAAAAAAATTTTTTTTAAATACAGTGTTACCATAATGAATGCATATATATCTGCAATTTTTTTAAGCATTACCCATGAACCTGTAATAGGCTCAACGCAGAAAAAAACAATGGCCGTTTCTAGCCTAGCCAGAAAGTATTACAAATATTTTGTTCAATAGTCTTGTCTGATACCACGCATTTTTATAAATGTGAGATTACTGAATATCTTCTTTTTTTTTAAATAGGTATATTAGATGGGCCGACGTTTGAGCACTATGTCACCTGGTGGTAAACGATGATTCGGCCTACGATGGAGCACATCGACGCATATGCAACCTATTCACTCGGGCCTTGAACACACCCAGGTTATATATACCCTTCAGGAAACACAGACTTTGTCAAATAATTACTTTTAATCTTTCAATATGTTCAATGGACTTCCGACTTTATTTCGAAAGTTAAAGTAAAAATCTAAAGTGAAAAAAGGAGAAGGTTCAACTGTTATAAAAAAATGCTGAGTTGTATTCTTACGAATCCAATATATCTATACATATACATCAAGGCAGTGGCGTGCAGTCCATATAGGCAAAAAGGCTTTGCCTACCTTACAAATACCGTGAATAACACTACGTAATAAAAGATATAAACATTTTAATTTTACTACAGAATACTAAAATAATAATTATAATAAAATTAGTGAACGCCTAAAATAAATAGTATAGCAACAATGATGGCGCGCGATACGTGTTGCATTGCGCCAGGCGTACCGTATAAAGCTGTAAACATTAACGCGCGAGGCAGGCACGCGGTTCCGTCGCCTGCAAACCATTCATAAATTTAAGCGTGTAGTGGTGAACGTCATTGTGCGTAGTGCACAGACGCGTTTATTTTATCGTCGCGAAGCTTGCCTGCAGGCACGGCCTGACGACTCGTGATTGAAGTTCGCCGCGAGCCGACCAATCACGTTCCGTGTCTTGGTTTACTCATTGGTCGCCTCGCAGCGAACTTCACGCCGCTCGCGCGTGATTATTTTTTTGTTTTTGTTTACGTGCGATGCGTGGATTTTCGGATAATTTTGTTATTTGATTTAGAATACGATTAGTAATTCTACGCAAATAATTTGTAGTAAACGGTATAAAATTGTCTATTTATATAAGTACATTTTATTACTGTGTTTGTTTATTTGTTAATTGATTTTGCAAAGTTATACGAAGAACTGTGAAGTTTGTATTGACAAAAGTTGGTAAAGAATTATAAACTATCGCAGACCATCGCTTAGTGATTAGATTGTGTGTGAGTTTTTCTTCTGATAGTCTTGTCTTGGTAAGTTCTATGAAAGTTACTTTATTTTAATGTGATTAGGTTATGTAACATAAGTAGGTACCTACGCGGAGCTTCCCGTCGCGGCAACTCAGTCAGTAAAAATAACGAAGCTTTAAGTAATATGTTATGTACTAATTATAAAATGAAATGAAGAAGAATAAGCTAGGTAAATGAATGTTTAATAATACTAAAAAATGTACTACCGCTTACTCGGCTCGGCCGCAGCCGGCCGCGCTCGGTTCGATTTTTCTATTAGTCATACCCAAGTTCTTAAAATCATAATATCTCTTGAATAGATGAACCAAACTTATTAATTCGAAGAATTAAATTAAAAGAGTAAAGAATTCGTAATATTCTTGTATTAAACGTGAGAAGGCTGGACAGGCCGCCAGTTCAGTACAATTTTTAGAATGAACAATTCGTTACTGCTACTGAATTGATAACATAAATTAGATTAATCGTTATACAGCACCTCGAGTAGGTAATTATGCAGATTAGTTTTACAAATCTAAAGAGAAAAATAGAATATTAATGTTTTTAAGTTGTTAGAGTAATCAATAAGTTGATGTAATACTTCACGAAAACAACGAGAGATGGCACTGTTACAAAGAATTGACGAAAGATTAAAAACCTCATAAGTTGAATTATGTTATGTATTTACGATGAGTTTAATCATAATACAATATTATGTTGCCTACCCTGTTCTAAAACCCTGTGCACGCCACTGCATCAAGGGATATTTACCTTGAACGTATCTCGAAACTAAAGCTATGGATACGATAAAAGAATGTACTTACTTGTGCATAAATGCATTTACAGAAATAATCAAAATATATTACACTATTAAACTGATAATTTAGTAGATAACTATGCACGTGCTTCAGTACTTATTAAAAAGTAAATCATTCAATTAATTTGGGTGTTTGACTTAACATAACATCACGCCTTTTATCCCCGAAGGGGTAGGCAGAGGTGTACATTATGCCACTGTACAATGTAATACCCACTCTTTTCACTATTTATGTTATGAGTCCCATGTAATAGGGGGTGAGCCTATTGCCATATACCGGGCACAATTACAGACTCCGTGCTACTACTGAGATTTTTTTAAAAATCCAGTAATACTTTGCCCAACCCGGAAATCGAGCACGAGACCCCTTGCCCGGCAGTCGCACTTGCAACCACTCGGCCAACGAGGCAGGGTTTTTGAACTCGTGAATTTATTATTCCACTGGTGTTTCTATTAGCTTTTTGATACCTACATACAAATACCGCATAAAAAGACCTATACAATAAGTTATGTCGTGAATTTTTTATTGCAAAATGTTAGACCTTATTATTCAGTAAATGCTTCTCCCTCATTTAAATTTCGAAATACGAAATATAATTTTTCAAATTACTATACATCATAACACGTGAACGACGCAATCAACATCTTTCCTTCAATCGATTTATTTGAACATAGAAGATTTTTGCAATTAATACAAAATTCACGAATTGTAAAATCGCATTGTAAATTATTTTGATTTTTTTGTCCCATTTAATATTAAAATATTTATTTATTTATTTATTTAAAAAACTTTATGCACACAAACAAGTACATGGGTGGAAAATATGTTACATTTTCATTCATTGATTTGTAGATATACCTACTTAATTTTCGATTTATTCTAGAATTTCTTTAGATATAAGTGTGCTATTTGATGCGATAATATGTACGTGATTGTGATACGTGACGTGTTAGATGGTATTCAGAAGAAAATTCATAGAACAGTATCGTTTTTGACGTTTCGATAAAAGTATTGAATTTGACTAGTTGTCAACTACATTATTAACAATGTTTTATGTTTTGGGCTTATTGACTATAATTTATATATCTATAATTTTAAATATTCTTTACCTTTATATCAAAAATAACATAATGAAGTACATTTTGTTAATTAGTTAGAGTTATCATTAAAACTACCACCCACGGTGTGGCAGTATCTAAGAGTGCCGTGCGAACACCCGCCGGGCGCAAAACTGTAGAATCCGATAACAAAATCGTGCGCAATTATGGAAATCCCTAAACATGTTCTATTAAGATGTCATAAATAACATGAACCTCGAATTTAAAATCACCGAAAAAAAAATGTTTCGCAAAAAAATGTA